CCTCTTACCCACAGCTGCATCACCATACAACAGTTCTTCTCAAATTTTCAATATACGCGACCCACTATTCAATCATTTATTTCATTGCACCCCTTTTTATACAATAACAATGTATTGAATTCAATAATACTATACTTTGACACTAAAACTACAATACGACTTTAAGCTCTTATGTGCCACCGACGTATATAAACGTCTCGCTCAGCCAAAGCATTAATTCTCTGACCGTATATATATGTCTTTCCGAAGTACGATCTTTTCTGTGCAGTGTTATCCATAAAATTATTCCGAAGGCTTTGGAATGCAGTAAAATGATCTTGGCAGTGTTTGCGATGAATTTACTTATTTCAGAGAATTTGCTTATTTATTCCTTTCTTTTCTCTCCTCCCCTAACAAACATCAAAATACACTCATCTACGTGGAAAACGATGGCATTGAGAAGTGAATCGCGTAACTTTAAATCGGCAGTCAAGGAATTAATTACAAACTGTACAAATTATTAAGATAAGTGTTGATATAAGCCCATGGGGTCACTCATAATTATCAAACTTGTTCTTAACTTAGTATTATTAAATTAATAATAAAATATTCATTGTACAGTACTGATACATTATAAGTGTATTAAATCAGTGTAAATGTGTATTCTACATTTTATTATATCAGAAAGTATTTTGTTCGTTTACTTTCAGTAAATTAATAATTTTTTTAAATAACCTTTTGTTTTCGACTTTTCAGTATACTCGCGCCCCCCTCGTAGAATAATCATGCCCTCAATGGGGGGCGCGCCCCACAGTTTGAGAAATGCTGCCATACAAGGAGGCTCTATTAATTTCCAATTTATTGTAAATGATTAATTTTACGTTACGAAGAGGCGAAAGAGAGTCATGTTGGGACTGAGAGATCCCACTTTAGCAGACCTAACAGCCTGCTCATTTCCAGAAAGGTCACAATGGCTTGGGAATCCAATGTAGGGAAACGCTTTCTTTAGACTTCCGAAGTTCAACTAATTTCATTCAACAGGAATTAACAAGTGCGTTTTCATTTTACCTTGAATTTGTTAGAGACAAAAGAACATCTTGAGAATCGATATAAAAAATTGTGTTGAGAACTGCTTTCCAATTTGCCGCTATCTCACCTTCAAAATTGTCACAATATTTCGCAAAAGAATAACTGATATGGAAAGCGCTTGAATAGGTTCCAGCATCAGTATTTTTAATAGCATAGTAAAAATTGAAAGCAAATTGGTGGGGGAGGGGAGGTTAAGAAAAGCAGGAAATTTAGATTCAATATTAATTAATAAGGGAATATATATAGAACGAAATAGTTTCCTTAAATTTAGAAAATGCTCGATTTGAAGTATTTCCCTCGTAACTATCATATTTGTGAAGGGAAATTATTTCTACAATATTATTTTCTTTTCTGTAATAACGATGTCATTCGTTGTATATCTGCTTTTTTCTGAAATTATGTTATATTAATTTTAATTGTTCCCCTAGATTTCATAATTTGTATATTACCTCAATATTACGAACAACGAAATTGTAAATTTTTTAATATAGCGAACTGTTTCTTGGAACCAAGAACATTTCACGATTTTTTTCATAAAATAACCTCCCAATAGCGAATTGCATTTTCTATATAACGAACCTTTTTATTGTGATTCAATTAACTTTCTCCTTAACCTGTGCAACCTGTAACCCTCATTGTCAAGTTTACTAGAAACATCTTCTATATCCCCTTTCACTCTCAGTGGCGTTGTCTCGTGTCCTAGAACTAGTCTCCGTTTGTTTGTAGTACTGATCAGTCGCATTGATAACTTCGTTTCTTCTATTGGGTTGTTCGGAAAGTAATTTCGTTTTTTTGTGGAAATGAAAGACAGTTTTCGTATAATAAACAAATACTTTATTAAATTATATATAGGCCGTTCTGGTCCAACACCTTTTGCCATCTTTCTGGTAGTAGCATAATTCCACGCTCATAAAATTTTTGGTCTTTGCTGGCAAAAAACTGATCGAGATGGTTTTTGACCTCCTCATTTGAGGTGAAGGTTTTACCGTCTAAAAATTTTTCAGTGACCGGAACAAATAATAATCCGATGGTGCAAGGTCTGGAGAATATGGTGGGTGTGGCATTGTATCCCATTCAAGCTGTAAAAGCTTTTGGCGAGTGACCAAACTTGTGTGAGGTCTCGCGTTGTCTTGGTGAAACACTATACCTTTCCTGTTGATTAGTTCTGACCTTTTCTGTTGAAGTGCATCATTCAGTTTGTCCAGCTGATGACAGTAGACTTCCAAATTAATCGTTGTGTTATCCGGTAAAAGCTAAAAAAGAACGATTCCTTTATAATCCCACCAAACAGACAGCATCACCTTTTTTTAGTGAATATCGGCTTTGAAAATGGTTTGAGCCGGTTCATCTTTTTTTGCTCCATGACCTCTTGAGTTCGACGTTGTTGTATACAACCCATTTTTCGTCCCCAGTAATGATGAGCTTCAAAAATGGATAATTTTCGTGACGCTTGAGAAGCGATTCTCTCTGTGAGAACATGTTTAACCCATACATCGAGGTTCGAGGATAATCCCAGGCCTTTCAAGTGGTCATAAACTGTTGAATTTGATAAATTTAACCTTAATCCGATCTCACGTGTTGTTATTCGCCGGTTCGCATCAACTAATGCCTTTATCAGCTTCAACCGGCCTTCTTGAATGTGGTGCATCTTCGACACCAAAATTGACGGATCGAAATTTAGCGAACCAGTTCTGGCACTGGCGTACTGTCAACACACCTTCTCCATACACATCGGTCAATTTCTTTCTGGATTGAACAGCATTTTTACCGTTTCTGTAGTAAAACAGTAAGATATGTCGAAAATGCTGCTTGTCGCTCTCCATATTTAATAGGGCACCAGCCAAAAACTACTGCGTAGAATTAATTGGAATTTTTCACACACAAGCCTTGCTATATGAGCTTTCAAAGCATATAAAAATTATACGGCTAAAATGTGAAGATGGGTGCAAAAAATACAATTAAATCCATTGTTGGGAGAAAACGAAATTACTTTCCGAACAACCCAATATATTGATAAATATTAAAACTACAGCTACGCGTAAAATATGCCCATTACGTTGACTTCATCTATCCAGGTAATACTTGGATCAAAAAATTTTGGAATGAAAACAGTAAATCAGTTTTAAGAGTGGAAAGTGCTCTGTGCGAAACATTTGGTCTTATAAATCACCTACGGCAACCCATAAACGGTCACCGAGTTCTTTAAACTTTGATTGATCGTTTGCAACCATTAGTTCACCTTCAGTAATACTAACTTATTTAATTAGTTTACGTTTCTGATAATAGTGGTGTATCAAAGATTTTTTTACAGGTCTCTATTGAGTTACTTAAAACATTATCCATGATATAAATACTTAAATATTTTCTTGGTAGAAAAGTTTAATTTTTTAGAAATTAAAATTTGCACTAAGAGAATAAACAATGACTGAAGTTGGGTGCAAAAAAAAATACAATTAAATCCTCTGTCGGGAAACAACGAAATTACTTTACGAACAACCCAATATCTCGAAAATATCAAACCGTAAGTGCTTGAGCATCAAAGAAAAAATTTGATTTGGAAGTGGATAAAGGCGTTGAGAAAAAAGATATTCCTGTAAAATCTGGTGTTCCTCCAAACAGCTTATTGACTACTGTAAAAAATCAAGATATAAGTTACAAAATTATGATTAATTGAATTCTTGTTCAAATCGTTTAAGAACATGTGTCTGTGAAAATGACGACGAGACAGATTTTGATACGCACAAAGCGAGATAAAAATATTCCGATATCTTGATTTTTCGTAATAAGGAAACCTCTTCAATTAGCAAAGGCATTGGGATACAAGCAATTTCTGGTTAGCAATGGATGACTTGAAAAATTTAAGAAAAAACATGGAAAAAACGCTTGAAGATATTTTTGGTGCATTGTAAAGATGTGAGATGTATTATGAAACAAAGCATTTTTTCAAACAAAAAAGCTCAAACAAGACAAAATTAACAGATTTTATGAGTGATTAAATTTAAAGATGCATGTAGTAATGTATGTTCAGAATTTCTAGCTATAAAATAATGTAAAATTTAAAAACACCTATATACTTTAAATTAGAGGATGTCCTAAAAACTCATGAATTTTAATTTAAAATTCTTTTCTTAATGTTAAAAATATAGTATATTCCTCTACATTCTTTTTTCATGTTTTTCTTTCTGTTCTTTTTTTGATGGTTGAAATGTATAAAAGAAATAGATATTAATTTTAAAAAAGGTGTGGATAATAACTGTTTTAATGCATTGTGTTTGAAAATATAGATTTTTTTATTTGGTTTATAAAGTATATTGAAAGATGTACCCCTATATGAGAACTTTGTATCAGTAATTACATTTAACCCGGCTAATATGCATTATCTAGTCGTAAATATCATTCGTAATCTTACCCAAACAACTGGTTTAAATATTCTGCAAGCTTGCTCCACCTTTTTGTACAGTGGAACTCTTCATGTTTCCTATAAAATCTGATTTATTTATAGCATAGCATTTCTTATTGTATTACATAATACAGTGGTGTGTGAAAATACATATGAATATTGAGAAAATATATTGTAATACTAATAACATTTAATACAAACACAAATTTAAAAATCAAAAATTACAACTTTATCCTTACTCGCCAAGTTCTTTAATATATTCGCGCGCGCGAATGATTTTATTGAAAACTATTTTTTTTATTATTGTAAGGGTTTATGACGTCAATAATGAGATTGTTAGTTCTTTTGTCTGCTTAACGCAAAATGATAGAAATAAAAAATTGTTAAAAAACTTTAAAAATTAGTTTTCGTAATTGTAATACAAGCTGCTTTGTCGGGGTTTAAGGGTACTGTTTCAAAAGGGAAATGTAATTATTCTATGCCTTTGAAGTAATCTAAAAATAAATATAGACTCACTACTGAGTTTGTGCCACGCCCAGACGGTGAATCGAACCACTCTGACTATCGTCATCTACGGGTTTGAAGCCCGCAAACAGGACCACTGATGCTCATCTGGGAATAAAGATTCTCTACTTGGCTTTTATTTATAATACAGCTTCAACATTCACTTAAAAATAGTGGTGTTAAAATATTTTGAACTCTTCTGAACATTTACATAAAAAATAGAGTTTTGAGAAGACAAATCGATAGTAAATATAAAAATATTGTATTAGAAATACGGAAAGTAATTTTTAAAGTTATTTACCGATTTTTTTTATTTCTATCACGATGCGTTAAGCAGACAAAAGAATTAACAATCTCATTATTGACGTTATAAACCCTTACAATAATAAGAAAAATAGTTGGTGTATTGCTGTTTTATTTAAATTTTATTATATTTTCTCTCAAATTGCTCACATGAAAAACACAAACTTTAATATCAGTTACGAATATGGGAAAAAATTATTGGCACTAATAGGATAAATCCTTAAATCTTGAAATTAAATCGTAGTTTAGTTACATGTTATTGCCTCATCTTACAAGCATAAAATGCTTATATAAGTATTTCTTAGATAATCTTCTTTAAGAAAAATTTACTGAAGTACATTCAACCCCGAAGGAAAGAAAATTGATAAATATAACGCTAAAATGCTTCATTAGCATTTGAAGAGAAAGAACATCTTAAAAAATTATCAGTTCCCTTAACGCAACATTAAAAATTGGATCCGTAAAATAAACAGTGTATGAACTAAAACCTTTCCAGTTCATTCCAAGAAAATACATAAATGCGGAGTTATCATCAACTTCAAAATTCACTTATAAAATTGACCAAATTTGAAGCATGGTTATATCAAGTTTTGATAAAATACAAGATTAAATTTTTATGTTGGCTCTTTGTATGGATTTTATTTGTATTTTTGTATTTGTATATTTTGTATGCATTTATTTTTATTTTCTAATCAAGTAAGTTTATTTTCAAACTATTTTTGTAAATATTTATTATTTGGATTCACGTATACTGTAGAATCAAAGTTTGAGCTATAAGCAAGAACTCAAAAGATAGCTGTAACATTAGGGTTTACGATTAAACCCTAATGTTACAGCTCAAGCATTGATCTTTCATGACAATCGATTTGGCGAAGAAATGCACTTTTGGGAGCTTTCCTATGATCTTTCTGAGCATCGTTATAGTAAAATCCGATGATCAGTCACCGGAAGATTCAAATTTACAAACGTACTGAGGTTCAGATAATTTCCAGGATTATTTATTAACTTTCAGATAGTTGTGTGAGAAGCATGGGAAATGCATGGCAGATTGGAATTTGCATATGCGCGTTTCTTCCGATATATCTGCGAGAAATAAATCAGAATGTTGTTTTACACGTTTCAAAATTGGAAGTAAAATCTATACAAGATTAATCACGTGTTGAGGTAATATAATTTTCACATCAAGAATGTCAAATTTTGTGTGTCATTCATATTTTATTACAATGGCTGAGCACAATAGTTTGTCTTTTCAAATAAAATGTCCTAAGTTTTTTATTAATAGTAAATAAGTTGACATATTTGCAGCATTTATATTTGTTAAAAAAATGAAGTAACAATGAAAAAAATGATATTAAAGAATAAGTTCTTAAAACATTGTTTCTCAAACTGTGGGCGCTTCTCCCTTGGGGGCGTGATAACCTTACAAGGGAGACGCGAGCACATTGAAAAGTCGAAAGTAAAATAGCTTAAAAATTACAAATTTACCCAAAGGAAGTAAAACAAAACACATTCTGACATAAATACACATTTCGACTGATATAATATACTTAGAAATGTATCAGTACTACACTGTGTATTTCATAATTAATTTATCAAAGTTATTATTACTAGTGATTTCCATGGGCTTGCCACATACAAAATTATATACATAATTTAATACTTATCTTACTAATTTGAAAGGTATACAATTATAATCGTTATTGTAGCTTAAAGCTACAATATCTGTTATTGTAGCTTTACGTCTAATACGATATTACTGATTTCCATACATTGTTATTGTATGCAGGAGGGCGTGAAGAAATTTAAGACTGAAAATTGGATAGCAAGTATTCAAAGTTTGAGAAGCTCTGTCTTAAAAACAAGAAGAATATGAATACAGTTGACATTGTTTTCTCTTATTAATAGTAGTGATGTTAGGTTCTTTTTAGGACTCTTCTTTTTGAATGTTACGCTTACAAGAAAGCGTCCCGAATAGGTACCGTTTTCTCATTATAAAACAACGAGCTATAAAGCACTAAATTCCATATATACACTGGCCTCAAAAGTTAAGGTACAACCGGGTTTTTGTGTCTAATTTGCAAATGAATGAATGTAGAAACAAAAAATTTGGAGGATATGTCCATTAAATAGTTTTTTATTGAATGCGTCATAGAAATTTGTATAAGTGTATTGCAAAAACGATTTATAACAAAAAAAGCAATCTCTGCGGAAAAGTCCATTCTTGGAGAAAACAGCACATCACAGTGTTACGTGGTAAAATGGCATAAAAACAATACAAAAATGGGTTCTAATAAGGAATGTGTCCACCCCTAACTTGAATGCATTGGCGGCATCGATTTCCCATGCTGTTTATTAAGTTGTCGGACACCGGAATAGGAAGCGAAGACCAGACACAGAGTAAGCCTTGTTTCAGCTCATGTAACGACCTTGGAGGAGGATTTAAAGCAGCAACCTCTCTGCCAAGATAGTCCCAAAGATGTTCTATCGGATTCAGGTCTGGAGATCAATCTAGCCATTCCATTCGTTCCAAACCGTGATCCTCTAGATACTCCTCAACAATCCGAGCTCGGTGAGGTCGCGCATTATCATCCATCAGAATGAAGTCGTTACCAATAGCAGCAGCATATGGGCGGACATATGGATCAAGGATCTCATCCCGATATCTAAGACCAGTTACGGTTCCTCCATGGAACACATGCAGGTCAGTGACCGAGCGAGATCCCTGCCCAAACCAGGGATTCCACCACCTATAACTGTGTCTTTCAACAGTGTTGGATTGATGGTATCTAGTGCGCTGTTCCCTCCAGATCAGTAGACGCCCTTCACTCTCCATTGTAAATCTGGACCCGTCTGTGAACAGCACAGAAGCCCATTGTTGCTGCGTCCAAAAACATGTTCTCTTGCCCAGCATAAGCGGTTCTTCGCTGTCGTCCGTTGAAAACACAACTGGTCTTCTTGCATACAGACCTGCATTGTGAAGACGATTTCGCACCGTAGTAGCGGAGATTCTTCTTCCTGATGCTTGAAAGTGGTCTGCAACGAGCTGCGGAACAGTAGTGGTTCTTCTCCTTCGTAAAGAGCTAGAAAACGGTCTTCTGCAGGTGTTGTAGCTCGTGGTCGGCCTGGAACAGGTCTTCTGGACACAGAATCTTCGGATTGGTATTGATCCCAAAGTCGCTGAACAACACTACGAGACACATTGAGACGTCTAGCAGCATCAGCCTGCGACAATCCCATTTCCATCCATCCAACTGCCCGCCACCTTAACGAATTGGGTAAACGACGTCTCTGAGACATTTTCTAAACTCTCTTGACTATTGTCACCGAAACTGCCAACAACTGTTGAAAATCAAACAACTTACACACAAAAGTACGAAAGCTATTTGCATATTTTTCTCTCACTCATAAATATACGTTCTTTTCTATAAAATAAAAGTGGCAGCAATCGTTTTTGCATTTATGTTTTTAAAGTTCGTTATTATCATTCATGTAAACTATGCATTTTATTGTTACTGCCATTTTTTTTATGGTGAGCTTCGAAAAACATGTTGTACCTTAACTTTTGAGGCCAGTGTATATACGATATATTGGCTGCGATAAATTAAAACGTAGCTAATGGTTTATACAAAATATGGTACGGGACTGTTTGCAAGGTCTTTCAAAGTTCTAATGCATTTCTTAAAATTTTTGCTGTTTTTAAAATGTTGTAAATGTTTATGGAATCATCAATAAGAATGTCAATGAGGCTGATTCACAGACATTGAGATGCCTAGGCAAAATCACGTGACGAGGATAGCAATATGTCCCCGCGTTCTGAATCAGTGTGTAAATTTCGTATGCTTGATATGTTTACTTCTTTTGTGTGAAGCTTATTTCTGAAATTTTATTTATTTTTATTATAATTTTGCATTATCCTTGTTTAATAATTAGGTATGAAGTTTTTTTCGTAATTTTTTTAGCATAATTTTTGTTTCAGTTTAGTATATTTGTCATTAGGTGTTAGTGTGCGAAGCCGGTAGCTTCTTGCAGTGTTTGTTTATATATTTATTAATAGTTCTAGATTATTTTTTAGCATCCTAATAATCAGTCCTTTGTTTTCATGTAGTTTATTATGTTTAATAATGATTTACAGTATAGAATTGAGACCATTGAATTTGGAAAAACTTCTCATATGTGTACAATTACTTATTGGTACATATAGTGTATCAATCCTCATAAATTCATAAAATAGTGTAATTTATTAGAAACATGCAGATATGAAATGGTCCTATTTTGAAATGTTAATGTTTATACCTTTCATTCTCTGATTCCAATAGTAAATACCAGCTACAAATATTTAATGTTTTTAGAAATACTATCTCTATAATTTCTCATAGAAGAGTATGGAACATTCAGAAACAAGAAATGCAAGTAAGTATAATTTTGGAAATGAATTTATAATAAAATTTGTCAATGACACGGATATATTTTTGTTTATTTAAAAATTTTCATACCTATTTCTAATGTTTAACAAGAGATTTATACTTTTGAGAGCAGAGTGTATAAAATAATAGTTGGTTAATAATGAAAGTTTTTGATTAAGGTAAACGAATACGTTCGGAGCCCTTTTTTAAAAAAAACATCATTTAGAAAAAAATTATAATCTTTTTAACTTCAGTTTATATGTAAATAAACTATACTTATCTAATATTTGTAATAAATCCTTCAAGTTTCAGAAAATTGGTAAATTTGTTGGAAATTTTGAAGAAATTTTAAAGACATTTAAAAAATTCTACATGAAAATCCATTGACCCAATTTGTATAAATTTAGT